TAAATTATATACAGTCACCCAGAGATAGTGTATCACAAAGATTCTGCTTTCTTGTCACTGTCAGGGGTCCCTACAGAGAAAGGGTGGTGGTCTTGTCAACCGTAACAAATGAGAAACAGTCGTGGTAGAAGACCCTGTGTGAGTCACCCAGTTCTATCAATGCTAAGTGACTGTAGTTTAAAAATTAACCCACATCTGAAAATAAATCCCTACTACATTTTTGCAGTTAAGAACCCAGTCTATGTTGATTTATAACATGATTGAAAATGCAAAGTCCAAGTTTTGTGTGTGATTTAACCTGGAGAACATTGCCCAGCTATAACTTCAAAAAACTTAAGAAAATAAAAAGGTAACGTGGAGGTCAAAGGTCTACTTCACAGAGAACAAGGGCCCACATTAAACACCAGAATCCCAGCCACCCTAAGAATGCTGGAACCTGCTGGGGCCTGTCTGTACTTCCCATGTTTTAGAGCGTTTTCTAGCACTCACTGGGCAAGCAGGATGCTATCTGTCCCTCGTGTATTTGCACAGAAGCCCATTTGCTTTCCTTCCCTGGCCTCTTTGCCATGGGCTGTGTCCATCATCGGGCACGATCTATGTGGCAGAAGTTCGAGTAGCTCCCTGGGGAAAAGCCTCTGCAGGCCAGATGGGCTACTGAAAACCAAAGTTTCCCACTTTCTTATTAGGAGGATTTTAAATGACCAAGTTTTCCTTTTTATCTCAGTAACAGCTTGTAGATTCAAAAGGGAATTTTAAACGTGGGTAGTAAAGATTGCGAAACCTTTACATTTATCTTTCTTGATCGATTTCTATATATTTTAAATAAAAAATAACTCATATACACAATAGTATTGGTATTAATCACTGATTAATTATTGGTATAACTGGACCGCCATACAACTTTCAACACTTGTCCCTTGAGATGCCACGGGATGCTAACAGAGCTGGGATGGAAAAAAATCAACTTAAGAAAAAAAAAATTCTGGAATGCAAAAAAAACAAACCAAAATATAGGTGTGAGTAGAGTGGCAGGGCAATCACGGAGAAAATCTGAGCATCAGCGCCAGCAGCAGTAATAGCTCTTCTCCATCTACCCTGCCACCTTACGCCAGAAAGGGCAAAACTCGAACACTTGATCATAGCAGATTATGGAAAAAAGTTTAATATCCATTTCCTTAAACCCTATATTTTGGACTTCGTATTTTCTCTTTGGAAAAGCATCATTTCTAGAGTTAATGAAAAACTTTAACAGCGCATTTTGCTATGTAGTTCTGAGGTTCTAAATGACTGATAAACTGACACATTTCCTTTCTATTTTGGAAAAGCTACAGACAGGCAGCCCAAAGGAGGTGAGGGTAGTGTCCCTTATTAGATCATTATTATAGATCACTCCCACATCATAAGGAGCCCCGGGTAAGTGTGGTATAGATCGCCGTGGAATTGAACACCCTTCCAAGCCCCATTAGCAAACCTCTGCCCTTAATTTGTGGTCTCTCCTCACTGGTTGGAACCCCAATCTCTTCAACAGAACAAACAACATTGTACACAAAGAGGGAGTTAGAATTTGTGTCATTGCCTTCTCTAAGTGAGAGCAATAAAGCCTGAAGGAAAATAAACAACGTGGGCTTTCCAGAGCCCTCTGGGTCTCGGACGTGTGCATCTGCGTAGCCCCTCCCATCTATCATGGCAAACCCTGACCCCTTCCTGGTGCAGAATGACAAAAAGGTCCTGCACCATCACTGCTATTCCAGGGCAATAAAACACTCAGAAAGGAATTCTAAGCCTCCACCCTGATTCTGGGAAGTCTCCAATCAGCTCTACTCCACCTACTAGTATGAGCACAAGGAAAGAATGCTTTGAATATCCCATGAAAATAAACTGATCGGGATTTTTATTCTGCTGACTCCCAAATTCATTTCTCCAGATGAAGAGAACTAGAGTCCTTATGAATCTTAATTTCTGTCATTGTGACACAGGACTCTCCACTTCCAACAAACACTTGTAAATTTTAGACATGCTACTAGAGAGTGGAGATGAAAATACAATTAAAGGTGGTTTCTACCTACAAATATCTGGAATCAACAGAACTGAGTTACTCTGGAGAGCTGGGTTTTCTTCAAAGCTGAAAATTAACCAGTTGAGAGACTCAACTTAATTTTCATTGTTTTGTGTGTGTGTGTGAAAATCTTTTGCACTTCTTTACCTAGAACAGACTGTTAAATAAAATTTCATTTTCTTCATATGACCCCGCCTCTGTGGTAGATGGAACTCTACTCGTGCCGTATCGGCTGTGGGGGTAATGGGAAGGTGATGCTAGCAATAGGTCTGGGACTTGCCTTTTTTAAAAAAATTGTAACTAAAAGCTTGACTTTGAGTCAGATGCCTCTTTACACAAAAGGAGAATAAAACTTGCTTATGACAATCTGGGCAGGTACTCTGTGAAACTCATCAAACATTCAGAGGCTGAAGCACTTTTTACTAAGTGGCTCACCTGCTCATAGTACGTGTACGTATGGGCACAAGTGCTCACACCTCCACACACACTCTCACCCCTTCTGCTTCACCTTGCTGTCAGTGTCCTTTGATTGGTGAGCAGTCCTGAAAACACTATCTATACTATCAGCAGAGTGACCCAGGGGTCTCCAGGCCCATTTTGTCCATCCACACTCACCTGCTCTGCCAACTTATTTGCAAGAGGTTTGTCAATGGTGTGTGAGAAAAGACCTCCTCACACCATATGAAAACTTCTCCCAGAAACACAGGCTGACCTGGGAGCAGGAAGATGTCAAAAACTAATAAGCATTTCCCTTCATTGGGATGAACTCTACAGTTGTCTATGAACAAAAACATTTTGTTTTTCTCAGTTGAACTTAAGTTCTAATCTTCCACTAAACATACAAAAGAGATAAAGGAGAAATAGACATTTCTAGCAATCGTGCAGCAAAGATGAAAGCCATTTCCTAGTCCCTGAGGTTTTACTTCATGACTTTTAGTATTAGTACAAGATAAGATTGACATGAACAAAAAAAATCACCATTATTTATTAAAAATAACTGAATCTGGAGAATTTTATAAAAGTAATCTTAGAAATTAGGGAGATTTCTATATTTTTAAAAAGATGTATTGAAAAGACTCTAAAATGTCAATAGATTCCCACAACAGGACACGCAAAATCATTTAATAATGCTGAAGCATTTTTTGTCATGCATTTAATATTTAAGAAATGCATATTAAGTGGCATCTAATTATCCAAATTTGGCCATAAGAAATCTATAGTATATAATATATAATTATCCATCATTATATTGGCCAGTTAAGCTTCAAGTTAATAACATGTTATCTGTCTTGATATGTGGAAATCATATTATATCCAATAATCTAAAATTAAGTGAAGTGCCATTATAGAAACACCCATCTGAAATATTAACTCAGTCACAGAAAATAAGTTCTGAAATCCCTCTGGAAAGGCCACAAAAGAGCTTTAATTCAATGTCCAATGAGCCCAGATGCAATGAAACCTATGGGTAGAAAAGCAATCCTATATTTGATGATACAAATGTCCTTATTTCTTTTTCAAAATAAAGAGATTTTTCCCTCTAAATTAACTTTACTTTTTCTTCTTCCACTGCCATTTTCTCTCTATTCTAACACTATGATTATACTCGGGTAGCTGGTTAGGCCTCTTAGAGCTGTTTCTGCTGCATAAGCTTTGATTTGAGGACAGAAAGATAAAAATGACTCTCAAGTGTAATATTTCTCAAACTCTCTGGGGTATAGGACCAGTTTCTCCCCTAACCCTTCCTGGATTGAAAATTTGGCAAAATATAATAGTCATGAATTACTAACAGAATGAAATGAAAAAATAAAAGAGAGAGTACAAGTCCCATATCTTAAAATTAATATTTGATTTAACCAACATAAGATTTACTATCAACCCACAAGTGTCTAAACAACTTAATTTGACATTCACAGTACTCATCTCATTTTGGACTGGTAAAAGGAGGCCACAGATAGGCACTTACACTATGTTTGGTCTACAGCGTCAAAATCAGGACCCAGGGGCTGGTCCTTGAAGATATATTGATTGACTGACAATTTAATCTCCTGGTCTTTGGTAGATCATTTAGTCAACACCTATCACCTACTCTATTTCTAGAGCTGTGATAATAAAAATGAGGAAATTCAGCCCTCTTAGAAAGGTTCATTGGTCACACTAAGACCTCAGTCCTTAGCATATGTCACAAGAAACCAAGGCAGAACACTTTGATTTCACAAAGAAGTTTTTGATATTTTAAATGTGCAAATGTAGGCCAGGAGAGTAGGTAAGAGCAACAGTAGTACAAGGAATCTTGCCTCTAAGCCCAATCCACTATCCACCAACATCCATTCTTTCCATATCACATCAGACTCGACTTTAGAAAGTACCTGCTGGGCCACAGTGTGTGAGGGTAGATGTGGTGAGAGGTGAGGCTGAAGAGGGAGATTGGGTCGGTGGGATCAAATGCTGCTAACAAGTTAGATAAGAAAAGAGCCAAAAAGTTGGGGGGGGGGTCCTTTGGCAAGCAAGAGAGAGCAATCTCAGGGCAATGGTGGTGGACGAAAAGTAGATAGCAATGGATTGAATGGTGTACTATAGGAAATGAAAAATGGAGTCCATTCATGGACTTTATGAGAGGCAGGAAGGAGGGGTAGTGTAGGTAAGTTTTATAACATATTCAATAAATGTAACATATAATATATATTATATAAATGTTACATATGTGTATGTATATAAAAAATTGTCTCCTTTCCACCACTGCTCTGATCTGCCAAGAACACAATCTTTCCACAAACATGATTAATAACTGCTAACAGTTCCTACATTCTTTTAAAGTTTCTTTATGTATATATAACACATATTATATTTCAATTTTACACAAAATATAGCATATTATAGTTTATAAAAGTACCTACTGGCCTACAGGGTGAATGAAGAGAGCCACATCAGTGCATATACAGACCTTGCATCTGGTAGCTGTACGGTGCCTGCCCGGGCTGAGGGGTACCAAAGCTGGTGCCGTAGCTGACAAATCCTGTCTGTCCAGGTGACTGGGACTGGGACAATCCACCTTCAGTTTTGATGCCTGCCCATAATGCACCTAAATCAGTTAGTGACAGCTTATCTATCTGTTCATTTTCAAAAGCTGACATATACACAAAAACACTTCCACAACTGTTTGTCACAAATGCTTCCCAATACTCTCTCAATAATCAAGTGTAGATATGCTTAGAGTAAAATACCCTAAACTATAATTTCAACTTAAAAACACAGGATTATCACAGATTTGAATGCTTACCACATTGTTCTTTCTTAACGTTTTTCTGAATTCCATTTTCTATAAAAGTGAACTCCAGTGACATGACTTTTGCACTTGGTTTTGTTGTTTTACAAGAGTTTAAGATAATCTCCTCTATAATTGAGAAATGGTCATGACTAAGCTATAAATTATTCTAAAAGTTATGTTGATTAATATCAGAATTAAAATCCCTTTTTCTTAAAAAGTGATTAATTAGAATCTCTAGCTTCACAGCATTGTTTTTCTTTCTTTTTTTCTTTTTTCCTTACTCTTTCTACCACAAGGATGTTTTTAGTAAATACTTATTTTGAAGCCAGAGGGAGCAATTTTGGGCACAGAACTAAGCAACACAAGCAAAAACCCTTCCCAATACTCAGATCCTAGCAGGAAGTAAGCACGTGTGCGCGCGCACGCGCGCATGCACACACGCGCGCACACACACACACACACACACACAGCAGGATATTAAGAACTGAATCCTGTAGAGCAGCAGGGTGATTTATAGACAAGTTGTACAGCAGTTGCCATTTTGTCTCTTGTAGTTCCAAGTATTTATTCAAATATTTTTTAAGGTCACTAATCAATTGACTTTACTAAGTTGTACACTTAAAAAATTTTTATATTTTTTTTTATTTTTCAGTTACAGTTGAGGTATGATATATTAGTTTTAGATATACAACCCTGTGATTAGACATTTATACAACTTATGAAGTGATCACTCTGATAAATTTAGTGCCCACTTGGCACCATACATAGTTATTACAATTCAAATAGAATTGTTTTAAATGTAGCCTAAAGTATACATTCTTTTTATCATATTGTAATATAAATAATGTATTTGTGGTCCCCAAGAACTTCCTAAAGCTCCAGGCTGACATCCGAATTTTAGGGTTCACGTCTGGCAGGGTTGTTACGCAGTGCTCAGCCCTAGATCATAATTAAAGATAGTCATGAAAGTTAACAATTGTCTTTAACTCCCACAGAGGGAGGAGAGAAAAAAGTCTGCCAAGGGAACTCACATTTTTGAATAATTTTACTTTGCATTTTAGATAGATGATATCTGTGGGATCTAGAATACACAGCAGTCTCACTGTTTATGTCTATTTTAGGGGATGTTCATCAGTAGAATGAAGTTAGTTAACTTTCCTAAGGCAATAGAAGAATCTCTGATTCTTGGCGGAGAGAGCCACCTCTAATTGTAATGGAGTGCAGCGGGAGAGTCCCTTGAAAATAGGAGAAAACCCCATAGCCCTTGATTAGGGGAAGGGGAAGTGGATGATATGGTTTAGGATACTTTGCATAACAAAGGCAAGTTAATAGCGGTGCCTTTCTTGAATGGAGAGGGCTGCTGCCACCCAGAGCAAAAGGTTTATGTGACTTTAAGAGCACATAGTGACTTGTGATAGAGCCAGGAGACGTAGATGCCCACCCTGGATGTCTGTGCATCACAAGAAGTCTTGCCCTGACTAACGATGGCAGCTGAAAGAAGGTAATAGATACGGGGGAACTGGCAAAAGTGGCACATCATAGGAGGGGCTAGATATGAGGTGACACAGGAAGTTCTGGGCCCAGCATTTAAAATAATGGTTGGCTGAGAGAGAAGGAAGAAGCAGCCATGTGGTCTGAAAGGGTGTAAGGAGAGAGCCGGTGGAGCTATGTGGGCTGCCATATTTTTAGTGCACTGACCCAGAGGAAAAACAGAGCACCTGGGCAGAAGCCCTGGGGGCATCAACTTGTATTCAAGGTCCAAAAAAAGAAGAAAGGTGATCAGGAAAGTGATAAGGACTGAGAATTATTCCCAGAAGATTTATAAGCATGGAAAGCCTGGGGATCAAAGCCCTTTTCACAGACTTACTCTGACCACCTCCCCCATCCTCACCTGTCATGGTGAAGATGGTGAGGATTAAATTTCCTATCCTTACTCTATTAGTTCTGATTGCAATCTCAGACATTCTGCTCATCTCACCCACCTGGAACCACTATTTCAGACAACAGGGACATTTGCTAATGGTTTAGAACTGGAGGAGCTCCTACCCCACAGCCCAGCTGTTGGCAGTGGGCCCCAGCATGACTGGATGAACAGGGGAGGGGCTGTGAGAGGGGCTGCGAGAGTGGCAGCCACGCACAGTAGTAGCAGGAAAGGCACCCGCCCACAGCAGCGCTGGCAGGTCTGCAGTGCCCTAGCACTGTCCATACTGAGACTTCAAATAACCAGCTGATGGTAAATGTTAAGAATATAAAATGGGGAATCCTTGACTCACATTATAGAATTAAACTACATAATTCAAATCATGGATTCTCTTTCCCCTTTTAGCAAAATAGTAGTTTAAAATTTTAGACAAATTTGATTTATATCTAATATTAGTTTGAGAAACCTTGAATGCAAGTTATGGAAATAAAAGACAATTCTAGAAAGTCCATTTCATGGCTGTTTTTAAAGCCTGGTTTAAAACCATTTAGCTAGATTCTATTCCATTTGGATAGGTCTGAAATAAAACTACAAAGGGTGAAGTCATATATAGACAATTTAGATGTTAATTTCTATATATTTTATAAGAAATTTATATATGGTTGATTTGGTTTGGGGGAAAGATAGAAAATGAAAGAAATGAAGTGATTTACCTTCTAATTATTAATGAAACACTTAAAGAAAAACATTTCTTTCACTATGCTGCAGAAAAGAATATTACAAAACAATAGCAACAGAAACACAACCACAATATTGACCACAAAACATAATTCTGTGCACTAAGCACAGCATTACTTATTCTACCAGTTATTTCCTCCAAAAATTATATGCTTTTTCTTTATAAGGTTTTATTTTTTCTTAATAAAATGCCAATAATTCATATTTTTCTATTCAAATGGGTTGCAATTTGTTTAGAAAAAAGAATAGCAACTCAATTGAAGAAAAGGTATTTTGAAATTCCAGAGTTTTTTTTTTAACTAAATGTTGAGGTTTTGTTTGATTTATTTTTAATTTTCAGGTATTGACCCTGTAACAACTGAGTTAAATTACACCAAGATAAAGATAATCTCCAGGTGGGAAGGCACAAATGGGGAGGTGAGCTGGAAATGTTTCCTGATTTGCCTCTTTAAAGTGCAGCCTGAGTCGAGATATGTAGATCACTTTTCCTAATGGTTGATAATGCCGAAATTTGATAATACTACCACCCTCGAGTTTAGAGCAAGGGTTTGTTGAATTCTGCTTGTCCTCCCCTAATCACACCCAGGCATCTGATAAATAGGAAATGAATCTCTACCCCAAAGAATTCATTCACAGCTTTATCGCAAATATGCACCAAAATACTTGGGATTCTAGAGCCAAGTGCTCAAATGGCAAATTAAGAGTTGAGATATAAATGGAATAAAATGAAAGCGAGAGGGCATATGACCCATGCCATCTATTCGCCACCTCTGACTTCAAGACAAGTAGCCAACAGTCACTCACGATGTCCCTTTGAAACAATCCCATTAACAACGTGGACACAAAAGGTGACAACACTTGCTAAGTGGCCCAAGATGACAGTCTCTCAGTGCCACTTGGGGACGCCCACTAGATAATGACACTACTAGAAGAAACAGCTGCCTTACTCACCATAGGAGGAAATTCCATACGGCTGTCCAGGCTGTGGGTAGGTGGCGTAGGCTGTCGCTTGTTGCATTCCTGTGGTGAACTGTGTTTGCCCATATGCAGCCATAGTTTGTGAGGAAGGGGTAGGGAGAATATGTGGGTATGCTCTGCTATTTGTCAGAAATGACAGAAAATGAAAGCCCATGCATTAGATGGAAACATGCAAGGAAACTGATTCACAAGCATATCACAAATTCCAGTTACAGCCTGTCTCTTAAAGTACAACATTCAAACATAGGATAAAAGTGCTGAGATCCTTCAGTCTCTGCTAGGAGAGGCCCCAAATAAATTTGTGTAAATACATTTAAGTCTCTATGAAGTGCACTTGTTTTTAAATTAAGATGTGACACGTGGGCACAAGACATGACTGGAAATAAGGTAAAAGACTACTCAGAAAAGCTGCTTGTTAAGAGAAAATACATCTTACTTGGAAGGATAGATCTGTGGTGGGGAGAACTGGTGAGCTGGTCTCGGGCTGAAGCTACTGCTCCCAATTGCTAGAAAAAAAAATAATGCACAACAATCAGAGCAAGATAAAAAATATAGATCAAGCAGGGATATAGTTCAAACTACAGGCTGACCGTAAAGACCTTTCTAACCTGCACAGAAATGGGAATTTCACACAATCTAATAGAAAGTTCAACTATATTAAGAAACCTATGGAAACTGGTTCGAATTTTAAATGAACTCTTAGAAAACACAGTCACAATGTCTTAAAATACTTGTCAGCATGCTGGGATGGGCTCTTCAGTGCCAGTACTTGGAGAGTACAAGGAGTCCCGGCTACTGTTTGGAACGATTTGGAAAGAGGAGAAGTGAAGTTGGACTGCAGGGCTGGGCAGGACCCGGAAGGTCACCTGGCCTATTGTTTCTGCTCCATGGGAACACACACCTGAGGCTGGATTACCAAGAAACACAGTCTAATCTTCTCTCCAGCGAGCAGAAATAGGACAGGTCTTCATTTGCCTGCTCTGATTTAGCAATGTTTTTTAGTAAAAATAAATGCATCCCTATAACTATCTTAAACTTCTCAAGTTGCAAGCTGAGCCTGTTTTTTCTTGTGCTGAGGTACGTGTACCTCTGTCCTCAGCTGCTGGGGCTCAGCTTCAGTGTCCAAGTAGAAGGTTGTTTTTCGAAAGAGGTCATTTAAGCATTTGAGCAGAATTTCTTTCTTTTTTAGTCACATACATTAAATTCATATGTCTCAGAAATGCACTAAACTCTCCTATCAAATGTTCTTTTACATTCATTATGAACAAAAGAAGCAAAAATCCATTCTTGCAAGCATCAGGCCTTACAAGGGTAGTTTTCAGCTTCATTCCCTATAAACAGGGGTTATTTGTCTATCCATGCACATATGTATCTACACCCACTGGCATTTATACATACACAAACATACGCATACATATAGTTTTTTCCTCAAATTCAGGTTCTACATTAAAACCCTTAAGGTGTATGGGAGAAGGCAGAAGAGTGTAAATGGGGTAATGGAAGGAGACTTGACTTGGGGTGGTGAACACACAACACAACACACAGATGATGTACTATGGAACTGTACACCAGGAGTCCATATAACTTTTCATTAACCAATGTCATCCCAAAAAGTTCAATTAAAAAAACCATAAGGTTCCATGCTCTCAAAGTTTTATGTATTTTTATGACATTGCATCAATACATTAACGCTTCACAAATTTAATTTTCAAGCTTGTGTTTGGGAGAACAGTAGTGGAATCAAACTAGACTCGCAAAATCTATGCATAACCCTTTCCTCGTAAAGCCAACAGGCCCAGTCCAGGCACAGCAGGGCAGGTCTGGACTGGCACTCCTCTCTCCAGCTGCCAGACTTCAACCACCTGTCCATCGGTCTGGCAGAGATAGAGTCCATACTGAAGAAATGGCAGGCCACCTCAGCGGGTGCCCCTCTGTCTTTTGGCACATGTTGAGTCACTGCTCTGTTCCAGGCATTGCCTAGATGCTACAGACACAAAGACAAGTTCTGTCTGTCACATGGAGGGGGTGACACACAAATAACCTTAGGAGAATTAGTCAAATATTGCATTTTATAGAAGAAAGGGATTAGGGAGAGAACATTTGGACCACAAGGACTACCACTTGCCAAGGTTATCTGTGACTGCAACCTTTTCTAAGACTAAACAAAGGCCAAGGGCAAAGTAGATTTATCCCACAGAGTTGCTAGAGGAGTCCTATCCTTCTTGGTCATAGTTAAAGATAAGCTTTAAAAAATGAAACTACAACAATAACAAAAACTGAATGCCACCTGGTGATGGAAACCACAGAAATCCATTTTATTCTTTTCTATTTTTATCCCTGTGTTTTTCAAAGTGTGGGTCAGGACCCATAAAAAGATTATAAACTCAATAGGTTATACCCAACATATTTTTTTCATTTAGAATAATAAAATAGAAGATATCAGGGTTATTACAGAGTATAGTAAGGTCCACGAAACTTTGATTTAGATTAAACACATAGTATATATGTGTACACATGAAAAAAGAGATTTGAGAGGCTGCAAATTGTGGCAAACACATACAAAAGAGGACCCCCCCAAAACCCAGAATTTTATTAAAAAAATTTGTATTTATTCTTACATGTTTAAACGTCAGTGACCTTCAAGGTATTCTCCATTTGGTGCAATACACCTATCAAGACTTTTTTTCCACCGCTCAAAATAGTTTTTGAATTCATCGGTTTTGATACCTTTTAGAGCTTTTGTCATTTTTTTGTTTCACCTCTTCCACATCAGCAAGATGTCTCCCTTTGAGGACCTTTTTTATCCAGGGAAACAAAAAACATCACTCGGGGTGAGATGGGGTGAACAGGGAGGGTGGGGCAGGGGGGCCATGTTTATTGTGGTCACTCAGGTTTACTGTTGAACACTCAGCACAGAGTGGGCAGGTGCCCTCGTGAACCACCCATCACGCAATGGGCAAATGTGCCGAAAGAGTCTTCAAAAAAATTCACTGAAGCCAAACGCAGTCTCTCACAGCAGCAGCAGCCAGTACACTGACACAGATGGTTTCCTAGAACACTCATCAAGCAGAGAAAACGTACTACAAGGGGCCCACCCTCCAGAATATAATTCCAGCTTTTGGGGGTTCCCCCCTTGTATTCTGGAGTCAGAATTTAATATCAGCTCAGATTCAAGTAGAAACTTTTCTACTTGGTCTTAGGTGATTTGTTCCCCCTCATCCTTGATATGTTCTCGCGTAAAATCAGGGCAATAATTCTACCTATAGGAGTGCTGTGAAGACTAAATGAAATAATCAACATAAAGTGCAGAACACAGTGTTTGTGTAGTGAATGTTTACTATCTCAGATACGCAGATAACCACCATCTCCATCCCAAATTTGCCCTTCCTTCTGTATTTTTAATTCTACCCAATGAACAGCATCACCATCTGTTTAGCAAAACGCTTAAAAGCAAGATTCTTTGCCCCTGTTTACATATGGGAATAGAAATTAAGTAACACATCCAAATGACTAAGGGAGAAAGCTGGTATTTCTGCCTGACTCTTTTCATCAAAAGAAACTACCTCTTGACAGCCTACTTAGAAACTAGGTATCTCAAAATCACCTCATTTCCCCCCCTCTATTTCATGACTCTCAAGTCACCCGTCCCAAATGGAGAAATCATCTATTGCGCTTCCAGCACCCTCCGGCCCTTCCCTCCCTTCCCGCTCAGGTGCCCTGTGTGTCTCACTAGGATGAGCACAACATCCCCCTAGCTTCTGCCCCTGAGTTCCAGCCACTGCCCTTTAACTACCACTACTACTACTGGCACAGTGATCTATCTTAAATGAAAACTTCTTTATGATCATTCTCCAGCTTGCAATCTCTCCACTGAGCTCACATTATCCCTAGGAAACATTCCAAATCCTTGGCAGAGTACACAAAGAGCTGCAAGCTTCCACCCTTCCCTGGGTTTAGTGTTCCGTAGCCTCCCCATACGTGCCCTGAATTTTCATGTCTTGTCTCAGTTGTTCTTCATACCAGACCCTCTGCCTTGTAATGCTCTTCTTTCCTCTGCCTGACAAACCCTCCTCCTTTGCGGCTAAAACATCACTGTCTCTTTAGAATAATGGCTTCCTTCTCTGTACTTTCTTGAAATGTTATCAACACCGGCAATACGGCACTTACCACATTGCATAGCAGTCAGCATACGTAGCCTATAGATGTTAGATTTCTCAGCTAACCATCAGCTTCTGGGGCCAAGGACCTCCTACTTTTTGTCTCAGTGCCTGATAGGGCCTGGCATGTGGTGAGTAATCAATAAACAGTATTTGTTCAATGAAAATGTGAGATTTAGGTCATAAGCAAAGTACATTTTTTAAAAACCATAATGACTTGAAGAATGGTTAAATTATTTTAACTTATTAATAAACATGCATAAGAAACTTGACTCAGCTCTTTGGCAAGAAGAATTGGGCTAAATAGTATTCTCATGAAACGACTGTGACTAAGAACCTACAGTGCTGAATGTCTAGTTGCTACTTTCCTAACTACATGGACCTAAAATTGTTGACTATTTAATGCTGTATCTTTGGGCTTTCTCTAAATTCAAAGCCCTGTAATCTCTGTGTGGCTTGAAGTCAAGATTCTTACATAGTGTACCTCAAATATTTTATCCTCTTAATTGCTTAAAAGACCTTTACATTTTTAAACAATAACCTAGAAATTCAGATGAATTTTAATTTGGGGGGACCGGAATAACCTAAAGCAAAAAGAATGCTCCCAGCTCATCTGTCAAGGTAAATAAAGTGGTTTTCTTACCATTAGTAAACTCCAAGTTCCGCATGTCAGAGCCCCGGGAACACGTGGACAACTAATAACCTCTCTATTTTAGCACATTTGTTTTCTATTACTGTTCCGTTCTTTTTCCTGCTTCTAACATATCAGTTGAAGAAGCTCCCCAAATCTTGTTGTAGGAAGGGAGAGGAGAACCAAGATAAAAATGTTCACAAGCTTGAGAATCCACTGAAAAAGTCAGCAGAAATCTCAAAATGAACAAGTTCTCAGTTCACTGCTCCACCAGGCTCCCGTCTCGTTATTCCGCTGAACTATCAGGTCCAAAGCCTAACAGTAAGTTTTGATTCTTCTCTTCCCCTTACACGCTTTTTATTAGAAATCAAGTCAGTTCTCCCTTCAAAATACAGTCTAGATCTGGCAGCGTCTCTCTTCCTGTCTTCTATTCTGTTTCAATCACCCACACTGCAGCCACCAGAGGATGGCAGTCCGGACATGTCCCCTGCCCCCAGTCCCTTCTCTCTCTCCTCACTCCTTTTCCCTAACAGAATCCTGGCACATTTAACCCTGACTTGGTGGCCCTTGTAAGAAGGATGTGCGCTAATACAGTCCTCTTTCTTCAAAACCAGGGAAAGACTAATCTCCCTGCTTCTATTACCCTCTGCCTCCTCTTGTCCCATGGAGCACCTTCCACACAGCAAACAGTAATCTCTTAAAAACATAAATTAGAGCA